AGAAAAGCACACAATGCTAGCCAATCTTCTCAAACAATGAAAAGAAAATTTGATAGCTACTTGTCATTTGGATTCACAAGTGCCATAAATAAAAATATACCTCAAGCACAATGCTTAGTTTGCAAGAAAATATTGCCAAACAGTTAGTTAGCACCTGCTAAATTACGTCGTCATTTTGAGCAAAACCACCCAGAGTACAAAGATAGACATTGCTTTTAAGTTTATAAGCAAAATATTTGAAAATAGCAATATAAAAAGCCACTTAATAAAAGGTTTGTGCTACGGCGCAAATTTTTTTTCAGGGGTTCCATGATGTTGATACACTATGTCAAAGGGTTCCAAGGGAAAAAAAGTAATTGGGAACCTCTGGTCTAAGATATTGAGAGCCAGAGGGTAGTCTTAGTCTTCCCCGGAGGAGGGTGCTGGTTGGGGGTAGGGGGGTAATGGGTTCACGCCTCACCATCAGTTTGGTACGTTTTGCCGGCTCTTTCCCTTTAGGCCTAGATACGGCTGTTGCGCCAGGTCTGTGGCGTTTGATTATAGGGGCTGTGCCCACAATGGATCTTTCGGATCCTGTCGCATCATCACCCTGTGAAGGGGATGTGCACGAGGGCAAGTTGAGTGAGCATTTTTACTAGGGCTTTCTCTACTGATGCTGCTACTGCAGCGTTAATCATGGACTGGAAGTTCTAAGTCTGTGGTGGTGTATCACTCATTTCTGGTATCTGGCGGGAACAACTCCTGCGGTCTGTGCGAGTGGCAGAGAAATGATAACAACCCCTGCACCCCCCCCCCCGAATCCCTCAGTGCCCCTACACCCAGAACATCCTCTCCTCCCCCCGCTACCCGGAACGGTACACAGACACCGACCCACGAACGAAAAGTCAGGCTGTGGGCAGAGAGTTACTCAGGAAGATAGCCTGCAGAATGGAGGGAAAGGCAGGGTTAGAGGTGCAGGGACAGGGGAGAAATTAAAGTAGAAATAGGAATAAACAGAATGACTGACAAATTGTAAATAGGTAGAAGTGAATGAAGTAATACTCTGACCTGTACTCTGGCTGAGTAGCAAAGAAAGAGGAAGTGGAAGTGCATCACAGGGCTATTTATAGCAGTGACTCATGTTTCTGATTGGTTTAAAAGTTTTGATTGATCTGTGCTGCTGGAGTTTTAGTAAAGAAAGATTATGCAGATATGAAGCCTCCTGTCATGTGGTAAAATTAAAGATTAGTGTCACTAATAATATACTATATTTCCAACTTACAACCAGATAAGGATGAGGACTGGCTCTGGCTGCAGTCTGGTGTAGAACAGGATCTCTGGAGGCGGTTTGTAACTGGTCACAAAATTCAATGTTATGGGAGAACGGGAAGCCGCTCCATTTTTTGGGGCCCTTTACACAGCTCAAAGTCTGGGTCCCAGGGCCTGACTGAGTATGCCCATAAGTCCACCTACATGTTCCACCCATGAGTTTGCTCACAGGGAGTGGAGTGTGTAGGGGATGTGTTGTTGTAGAGGATCTAATGTCTGCTTATACCAGTTTGTGTAGGTGATGCAGTTTGTGTGCAGTGGAAGCAGTGTGTTTTTGTGTAAGGGATAGAAAGCAGTGTTTGTGTGAATAAGGGATTTAGTGTGTGTAAGGGATGCATTGTGTGAATCTGTGTGTGCGTAAGGGATTCAAGGGGTGTTTCTGTGTATGTAAGGGATGCAGTGTGTCTATAAGTGATTGATTGTGTGCGTGTGCAAAGGATGCATTGTGTGAAAGTTTTTTTAGAGTAGGATAGGGGCTGAGTCCTACCAGCCCCTTTGTGCTTCTTTCCCCAGCCTCTCTCCCCTCCTGTCCTTTAGTGCTCTCCCCTGCCTCACTGTCCCTTAGTGATTCCCTGCCCCCTTTCCCATAGGGCTCTCCCCTCCTGTCTCCTAGTGCTCTCTCTTAGCCCCCATCCCTTACAGTTCTCCCCTGCCCCCGGTCCTATAGAGCTCTCCCCTGCCGCTTAGTGGCCTCTCCTCTTCTCCCTCTGTTTCCATTAATGTTCTCTGCTCTTCTCTGCCGCCCCCCTGTCAGGAAAGTGACAGGGATCCAATACGCAGAGTGCGCACAGAATGAGGTACGTATACCGGACCTTAGAATGGCCGGACTAACGTAAGGACAAAGCAAGAATAGTCAAAAGGTAAGCCGAGGTCAAGGGAGCCGGAGGACAGGTAAGCGAGATACAAGCCGAGTCAAAGGAGAGGAGAGGACAACAGGACAAAAGACAAGCAAGGGTCAAAACCGGAAACACAAGATAAAGAACGCGCTGAGTGACTAGCAAGCTAGAACCACGACAGGGCAATGAGCAGTAGTAAAGGTTTCCTTTAAATACCCTGTACCTAAATAGAGACCACGCCCCCAAAAGGTCCGGAATAGCGGTTCCCGGCACTTTATGCAAATGCCGACGTCATGACGTCGACGCTAGCCGTCGCGTCATAAAAGGGGGAGGAGCTAGCGCGGCCGGCGCGAAAACGGCCGGAATATGCCGAAATGCTAGGGGCAGGGAGGCCCTAAGCAGAGAGGATGTCCTCCCTGGATACATCACCAACAGGTACCCTGACAGTACCCCCCCTTCTAGAAACGCCCACCGGGCGGATGGGACCGGGCTTAGAGGGAAAACGAACGTGGAAGGCCCGAAGAAGACGAGGAGCATGCACGTCTATACCAGGAACCCAAGACCTCTCTTCCGGACCATAACCTTTCCAGTCTATGAGGTATTGCAGCTTCCCCCTAGAAATACGAGAATCAAGGATGGACTTGATATATTCTTCCTGACCATCCACACGGACCGAGGATGGAGGAGCAGAGCGGGAGGAAAATCTGTTACAAACAAGAGGTTTCAATAACGACACATGAAAAGAGTTAGGGATGCGTAGAGTAGGAGGTAGATCCAGCAAATAAGAAACCGGGTTGATCCTCCTCAGTACCCTGTAAGGACCAATGTAACGAGGAGCAAACTTCAAGGAAGGAACTTTCAGGCGAATGTGTCTGGTACACAACCAGACCCTATCCCCCGGAGAAAAAATAGGAGCAGGACGTCTACGCCTATCAGCATGTGACTTAAACACCGCGGAACTATGTTCAAGAATTTGTCGAGTCTGATCCCACAACTTTCTCAGGTTGGCTACATGAATATCAACCGACGGTATACCCTGGGAAGGAGACACCGACGGAAGAACAGTAGGGTTAAAGCCATAGTTCAAGAAAAAGGGGCTATTACGAGTGGAACCACAAACAAGGTTGTTGTGAGCAAACTCCGCCCAAGGAATCAGACCGACCCAGTCATCCTGGTGTTCAGAAACAAAACAACGTAGATATTGCTCAATTTTTTGGTTAGTGCGTTCGGCTGCTCCGTTAGATTGAGGATGATAGGCCGAAGAAAAATTCAGTTTGATGCCCAACTGTGAACAGAAGGATCTCCAAAAACGGGAAATAAATTGGGAACCCCTGTCTGACACAATCTCATTGGGAATACCATGTAAACGGAAAATTTCTCTAGCAAATATCACGGCCAGTTCGGGGGAGGACGGAAGTTTAGGCAAGGGAACGAAATGAGCCATTTTAGTAAACCTGTCAAGGACCGTGAGGATAACTGTATGCCTATTGGAAGCTGGTAGATCAACAATAAAATCCATAGCCAAACAAGCCCAAGGTTTGTTGGGAACGACTAAGGGCTGCAATAAACCACAAGGGAGATCCCGCGGAAGTTTATTCCTGACACAAACATTGCAAGCCTTGACAAAGTCTTCCACATCCCTACGTAAACCGGGCCACCAGAAGTCTTTGGAGATCAGGCAGTAAGTTTTGTGGATGCCGGGGTGACCAGCGAACTTGCTATCGTGGAAACAGCGAATAATGTCCACTTGGAATTTGGGGGACACGAACAAGCGGCCCACAGGAGTACGTTCGGGAGCAAGAGATTGTTCGTTCATAATATCAGCGAGCAATGGAGAGTGTATTTTGACATTGGTGTTGGCGATAATATTGACTTCAGGAATAATAGGGAACAAAGTATCCTCTGTAGAGGTGGTAGGTTCGTGCTGACGTGACAAAGCGTCTGCCTTAGTGTTCTTAGAACCAGGCCTGTAAGTAAGCACATAATTAAAGTGTGTAAGGAACATAGACCAACGTGCCTGCCTGGCAGATAATCTTTTGGCCTCCCCCATATACGATAAATTTTTGTGGTCAGTCAAGATAGTAACTGGGAGGACGGTGCCCTCTAACAAATGTCTCCATTCCTTTAATGCCATAATGATAGCTAGAAGTTCTCTATCACCAATGTCATATCTCCTTTCAGTGTGTGATAGTTTCTTGGAAAAAAAACCGCAAGGGTGCAGCGGCTTATCTAAACTTTGTCTTTGGGACAACACTGCGCCTATCCCTGTTTCAGACGCATCAACTTCAAGTAAAAAGGGTAGAGAGGTATCAGGATGAACTAATACAGGTGCTGAGGCAAAAGACTGTTTGAGCGTTTCGAAAGCAGATAAAGCCTCAGTAGACCAGGTTTTGGTATCGGCTCCTTGTTTGGTCATATTAGTGATAGGAGCGATAACAGAGGAGTACCCTTTAATAAAACGTCTGTAATAATTAGAAAATCCAAGAAATCTTTGTATGGCTTTGAGTCCCTTAGGTAAAGGCCAATCTAAAATCGATTTTAGTTTGGTCGGGTCCATCATAAACCCGTCTTTGGAAATTACGTAACCTAAGAAAGTTACCTGAGACTGGTCAAAGCTACATTTTTCCAATTTACAATACAATCCATGCTGTAAAAGTTTCTGTAATACCTTTCTGACTTGTCTATGATGTGAATTAATGTCTCTAGAATGGATTAGTATATCATCCAAATATACAATTACACATTCATGTTGGAATTCTCTAAGAACTTCATTGATCAAGTCTTGGAAGACGGCCGGGGCGTTACAAAGCCCAAACGGCATTACGGTATACTCATAATGCCCGTAACGGGTATTAAATGCTGTCATCCATTCATCTCCTTGTTTAATTCGCACTAAGTTATATGCTCCTCTTAAGTCAAGTTTGGTAAAAATACTTGAGCCCCTTAGTCTGTCAAAGAGTTCAGTAATCAAAGGAATAGGGTAAGCATTTCTGATAGTAATTTTGTTCAATCCCCGATAGTCTATACAAGGACGTAAGGTACCGTCTTTCTTTTCTACAAAAAAGAAACCCGCCCCCGCCGGAGAAGAAGACTTTCTAATAAATCCTTTGTCTAAATTCTCCTTGATATATTCCTCTAAAACTAAGTTTTCCTTGGTGGATAGAGGGTATACCGTACCCCTGGGAGGCATAGTACCAGGGAAAAGTTTAATAGAACAGTCATAAGACCGGTGGGGAGGTAAAGTATCCGCCTTACCCTTGTCAAATACAGATTTGAGGTCTAGATATTGTAATGGTATCTGAACGTCTGTGGATTGAGAAGTGTTAACATAAGAGTTTACGGGGCAAACAGAAGTAACTCTCTGCAGACATTCTTTCCTACAACCCATACCCCAAGAAACGATTTCTCCACCCTCCCAGTCAATCTGAGGGTTGTGTCTCTTGAGCCAAGAATATCCTAGTACCACTGGGACTGCCGGGGAGGAAATTAACAGAAGGGAAATCAACTCCTCGTGGAAAATACCAACAGTAAGCTTAACGGGTTCGGTCTCATGGAATATTACTGGTTCAGATAAAGGTCTACCATCTATGGCCTCAACGGCCAAGGGTGTATCTCTCAATTGGAATGGGATACAATGCTTATTAGCGAAAGTTTGGTCTATAAAGCTTTCTGCTGCTCCAGAATCTAATAATGCCATCGTAGTAATAAACCCCTTTTCCCAAGCTAGAGAGACAGGAATCAGAAGCCTATGGTCTTTTTTATTATGCATAGAGGACAGTAATGAAACACCCAAGGCCCGTCCTCTAAGGGAACTTAGGTGCGAGCGTTTCCCGGACGATTAGGGCAACTAAGACGTAGGTGACCTCTCCGCCCGCAGTATAAACAGAGACCCTCCCTTCTTCTGTACTGTCTCTCAGCCTCAGATAAGCGAGTATTACCTATTTGCATAGGTTCTGGTGGAGTAGGATTATAGGAGTCAGGGTTCTGAAATGAGGGAGCGAGTCTTACAGGAAGTCTAGTAACTCTTTCCCGAGTGTTCTGCCTCTGTCTCATGCGTTCATCTATTCTGGAAATGAAGGATACTAAATCCTCTAAATTTTCCGGAAGTTCTCTTGTGGCAATTTCATCTAGAATTTCATCAGACAACCCATTCAAGAAAACATCCATAAAAGCTTGTTCGTTCCATTTCACTTCTGCTGCCAATGATCTAAACTCTAGAGCATATTCTACAAGGGTCCTATCTTGTTGTTTAAGGCGTAACAGGGATCTGGCCGCATTAATCTTCCTCCCTGGGGGGTCAAAGGTTCTTCTAAAAGCCGTGACAAACGCAGTGTAGTTGTAGACTAAAGGATTGTCATTCTCCCAAAGGGGATTGGCCCATCTAAGTGCTTTATCTATTAGCAGGGTTATAATAAAGCCTACCTTAGCCCTGTCAGTGGGGTAAGCCCGGGGTTGTAGTTCGAAATGTATGCTTATCTGGTTTAAAAAACCACGACAAGCATCAGGCGAACCCCCATATCGTAATGGTGACGTGACATGGGAAGATGCGCCTACAGTGGCTACTTCCAAACCAGTACTTAGCGAGTGGCTAGCAGTGGAACGTATTTCTTCAGACTGGGTACTGGAGCGTGTTAACAAAGTTTGTAACGCTAAAGCCATTTGGTCCATTCTATGGTCCATGGCCTCAAATCTGGGGTCAGGAGGACTAGCACCTGCAGGATCCATCTGGCCCTGTCGTAATGTCAGGAAAGTGACAGGGATCCAATACGCAGAGTGCGCACAGAATGAGGTACGTATACCGGACCTTAGAATGGCCGGACTAACGTAAGGACAAAGCAAGAATAGTCAAAAGGTAAGCCGAGGTCAAGGGAGCCGGAGGACAGGTAAGCGAGATACAAGCCGAGTCAAAGGAGAGGAGAGGACAACAGGACAAAAGACAAGCAAGGGTCAAAACCGGAAACACAAGATAAAGAACGCGCTGAGTGACTAGCAAGCTAGAACCACGACAGGGCAATGAGCAGTAGTAAAGGTTTCCTTTAAATACCCTGTACCTAAATAGAGACCACGCCCCCAAAAGGTCCGGAATAGCGGTTCCCGGCACTTTATGCAAATGCCGACGTCATGACGTCGACGCTAGCCGTCGCGTCATAAAAGGGGGAGGAGCTAGCGCGGCCGGCGCGAAAACGGCCGGAATATGCCGAAATGCTAGGGGCAGGGAGGCCCTAAGCAGAGAGGATGTCCTCCCTGGATACATCACCAACAGGTACCCTGACACCCCCTCCCGTGATCTCTCCTTCTCCTTAGTAGTCGCCATCTCTTCTCTTTCCCCCACAAGGACTCTTCCACCCTCCCCCCAGCTCTTCTCACCCCCTCTCCTTGTGTAGCATGGTCAAGCTGCGGTCTGCGGTACAGGAGATTCTTTTTCCAGTACTTAGGGGGTGAGGAGAGAGGCAGTGCTGCAGCATTAGCTGGGCCGGCGATGAGGGCGCCCCTTCCCAAGCGGCTGCCTAGGTCGCCTTATAGGAAGTGCCGGCCCTGAAGGTCTGTAGAGTTCATGACTCACTCTTGCAGTACTCCGTCAGTCACCCCAAATTGTATTTGGATATTTTAATTTGCAAAAGAATGGTGTGAGGCTGCAGCCCACAGCCTTTGTATGCGAGCTGCCTTGGGGGACGGTCCTCCTACCCTCCTTGACAGTACTCCTATGGACATGTCTAAACTGCCACAGGGTTATTCACTAAAAAGAATTGCCAGGAATTTAAGGTGCTTTTCATATCCTTCCAAATTCAATTTCAAAGAATGGAATAGGAAAGGATCTGAAACTGCCTTCGCGTTCTTTACCAAGATCTGAATGTGACGGACCACCGTCACAAAGTACCATGCCCATTGCTTATTTGTGTGTTTTTCCCATATTCGCCCTACCTGCTCCTAACGGTGCTATAGTCACCGTTTTCCCCCCTAGGCTAAGGCTCGTAGCTGCCCCTAGAGCACACTCCAGTGCTACCTGCACGGAGATATCCACCTGAGAGAGAGGCGCAAGCCCCAGCGGAATCCCTGGAGCGGTGAGTTGGCTGCACAGCCACAGGGGTACCGCTGGCTGCCTGGAAGTCCGCGCCGACCAGAGAAGGAGCGCCCATTC